ATCTGGAGACGATGTGGCAGCACGTATGTCGACGAGGGAACGCAGCTGCAAGGACGTTATTGTCCCACCCCACCCGCATCCGGAGACGATGCCACGTTGAGTGTGGCAGCACGTATGTCGACGAGGGAACGCAGCTGCAAGGACGTTATTGTCCCACCCCCAGCCCACCCCACCCCACTCCAGGACGTTATTGTCCCACCCCACCCAACCCCACCCCCCCGCATTGGAGACGATGTGTGGCAGCACGTTTGTCGACGAGGGGGGCACGCAGCTGCCAAGGACGTATTGTCCACCCCACCCGCATCCGTGAGGACGATGCACGTTGAGTGTGGCAGCACGTCTGATGTCGAGAGGGGAGGGAACCGCAGATGCACAAGGAGTTATTGTCCCACCCCCAGCCCACCCAACCACTCCAGGACGTTATTGTCCCACCCCACCCAAACCCACCCCCCCGCATCTGGAGACGATCAACACACTGTGTGGCAGCACTGTTTTATGTCGACGAAGGGGGAACTCAGCCTTTGCCTAAGGACGTTATTGTCCCACCCCCAGCCCACCCCACCACCACTCCAGGACGTTATTGACCACACCAACCAACCCCCACCCCCCCCGAATCTGGAGACGATGTGGCAGCACGTATGTCGACGAGGGAACGCAGCTGCAAGGACGTTATTGTCCCACCCCACCCAACCCAACCCCTCAGCATCTGGAGAGGATGCCATGTTCAGTGTGGCCGCAAGTGTGACGCGGATTTTGGTTTCTGAATCGCGTGGATGGTGGTTGCGGAATCGTTTTTTTTGTTTCGGAATCGTCTTTTTTTGGTTGCGGAATCGTCTTTTTTTGGTTGCGGAATCGTCTTTTTTTGGTTGCGGAAGCGGCTTTTTTTGGGTTGCGGAAGCGTATATGTTTTTGGTTGCGGAATCGCCGAAATTTGGTTGCGGAAGCGTCGAAATATGGTTTCGGAATCGGAATTTATTCCATTTCACACATAGATCTTCGAATTTCTCATGTTCTTTGAATTTCCTAGAATTCAAAACAGTTGAAAAGCCATGTCCCAAGGCCACCCAAATCAGAATGAGCCCTTGTGAGATGGGCTGTGCCTGTGAGAAACCATTTTCTTTTATCCATGAATGCTAAGTATGCTAAGTATATTCTAAGTATGCTAAGCACTTCTGGGTGTGCACTATATAGGCTGTGTGCACAGGATGCACTGTGTGTACCGCGGTTTTTGTTGGTGCAATGCGGAACACCGTTGGAATTCTCTGCAAATTCTTTTCCGTGCTCAACACTAGGTGTGGTGCGAGTCCAAGCAGTGGACTGGCCTCTTCAAGCTGCACAGGCCGATAGGGTCGACAAAGAGTTTGAAGTCCATGATCTGTGATGCGATTTCGGCCTCGACATCTCGACATTTGAAGCGGAATTGAAAGCACTACAAGTACTACAAGTATACTACAAGTGCTAGGACTGCAAGGAGTACAAAGTCTTGTGTGGACTTCTGAGAGAAGTGTTCATGTTTGCAGCACTCAAATGGCAACTTCTCATCCTAATCTCCAGCCATGAACCTTAGAGCCTCTATGTGCCATGCTCAGGAATGATCTCAGGACTAAGTCAGCTCCATCTTCCCTTATCTTCTCATTGAGGCATCTAGGCATGATTGGCATCTAATGAGAGGCATCTCTGCGTTTGTTTCTTCCGTTTTCGTTTCTGTTTTGCTGATCTCTTCGTCTTCTCGTCTTCTCGTCTTCTCGTCTCTGGCCTAGGCCAAGAAATTCCAGGCCGCGGTACTCATCAAGCCTGCCATTCTCCCGTTCTCAAGCCATTCTCCGGAAAGATCATGAAAGATTGGCCCTTTGTGGTAAGCGGCGGTAAGCGCTCAGAATGGAAGAGTCTCCAGCATATTTTCCATCAGTCTCCAAACATAGTCTGGGCATGTCTCAACACACTCGTCCAAACCAATTCAGACAAACATAACACAAACGACCCATTCGTCAAGAGTGTCCAACCAAGTCGTGGTAAAAAGATTGTCTTGGGCGCCGCATGGCACACCAGACACTGAAATTCACACGGGGAAATGATAGAAAATGCATTGAAGCGCGTTTGGGTGTGTCTGAAAATAGGGTACCCCCCCCAAATGGCCATTTTAATAGGGATCATCCGGGATCATGATGATTCACCATTGGATTCCGGGGGTGCCTTATTTTCAGACCATTGAAATGTAAAATGCGTCTCTCCCAAGCGCCCGACGCCGTAGCCAGGAACTCAACGCCAGCATCGCAGATTCTGTTCTCCCAGAGATTCAATGCCCTCACAAATCCGAAACTAATGATGCAAGTAAATTAAAATAAAGATGATATAAGATGATAATGCGAACTGATGTGAATTGTGCGTGTGTGAATTGTAATGCGGGAATTGTTTCCAGTTGTGATGCAACGTATGCAGTTGATGTACCAAACACACACACACACACATTTGTATGGATACATCATACAAGTGTACTACAAGTGCATAGATTAGAAACTCATGCGAATGGATGCGAATGGAATATACCGCATGTGCTTTGCATGCGGCACATCCAAATGGCAAACCACACCTTAACTGCCAAGGGCACTTGGAGAGCGCAGCGCTCATTGGACCCAGCCTCAAAAAAAATCAAGCGGCAAAGGGCAGTGAACCAACGGTAAGTACAGTAAACATGCGAACACCACAAATGGCAAACGATGGAACACAATGGGAAAAAAAGTTCCGAGTCTTCAAAAATTCCAGTTTCCTTTTGAGAAAAGATTCAGAACTTTTACAATCCTTTGCCGCTTTTGAATTCTGCGGTAAACTCACTCTTTGCTGCGCACTCAAATCGGCTGATCGCACAGGCACGGAAGCTGACGCACTCGAGGACCTCAAGAGTTCAACGTGTGGTTCAACGTGGAAACTCTCCTGATCTCAAAGGGACGTCAGCTGTCCATGTCAAACTGCCTAACATGTCTGACCGCATAATACTGCAGAAATGAAAATAGACGATCGAAACAACATCCTGGATCACATCCATCATTGCGTCTCTGTTGTGAACAGGCTTAGCGAACGCTCGAACTCGAAGACTCAGTTTGATTCGAGATATTTCGAGATTCTCGGAGTCCAGTGGCACATGAGTGACATGAATTGTGCCCTATAATGATATATAATATGATATATAGTCTATAATAGTGACATGATTCAAGACATGATGTTTGTTGGCCTCGAGGCCCTAGTGCTTCAGTCTCGTGTCTGATATTCTCTCTATCTCTCTTTATCTCTTCGAGTCCAAAACGAGTTCTATTTGAAAAGAAAGATTTCCAAAGATTTCACCGAAATTTCTTGCTTTCGGAATTTTCCGACTTTTTTTTTTAGTAAATTCACAATGTTTTTTCTAAAAAATGTCTACATTATTCTACACTTTCTACAAAAAAAAACGCCGAGAGACGCAGTCGGGCTCCAGGAAGCCTGCGAAGGACAGGCCCAGCGGGTCTTCCTCACGGCACGCAAACAGAATTCAGAACAAGCAGAACAAACGGCAACAAACGGCAACAGTTGTAACAAGTTCTACAATATTCTACAATATGGCAAGCAATCCATACAGTTCTATACAGTTCTACTGTTTTTAGTAACAAGTTCTACAGTTTTTCTACAGTTCTACATATCCATTAGAACCTACCTGATGTTTGGTTCCTATGGGAAAGCAACGGTTGCAACGACGTACCGGCAACATGGCAACATGGCAACATTCCAGTGAAGTGATTCCACTTTCGTTTCGGAATGAAAAGATAAGTTCTTAGATCCTTTGCAAAACGAGCAAAACGAGCAAATCAAATGGAAGGATTGCTAGGTACACTTTGCATCACTTTGCATCAACCAGCATGCAATCACAAGAGTTGCTTGGTTAGCAATGGAAGGAGCAACAATTTCATGAACCAAGAAATAAAGCGACGCCGGTGGCCATTCAAATAGGGAAGAAACACCCAAATGTCAAAAAACACGAAAGCAAAAAAAACGGAAACAGTCAGTTTAACCATCAGTTTAACCAGTGTTACTTCATGTTACTTCATGGTTCTTCACAAATCTGTACCCCTCAACGCCGCCTTCGGGCTGAGGTCTGGCAAACCTGCCGAAGTTTGCAGAGTTACGAAAGATACGAAAGCTCTTTGAAGGCCACCCGGTTGACTCATGTTGACTCATGTTGACTCAATGTAGGACCTGGTCTTTTGATGTCTTTGGTGTTGAGCCGAACTAGTCGCAACCTGTATTCGCTTGCACGGTTTCCTGTCACCATTTACCTTCTAATTGTTTCATAGGGCAAGTAGACACACCGCAAATTTTTTCAGGGAAGCACAAGTTCCAGAACAAACAAATGATGACTACGTCACACTGTCTCATGCTTACTATGTTCGAATCTATGCTGGATTCCCACTGCTGGTATTGCATGTTGGTAAAAGGATCGCTTTAGAACACAGCCATTTCGCGTTCTAAAGCGAGGGCCTTACCTTGCATGTTTCGGACATGTCATGCTTTTGCGATATTTTGCGTGTTTCTTTAAATGTGTCCTACTGTCTTCAGACACTGTCCTATTTTTTCATGTCTCTGCGCTTTGATTTGGAAGTCGTGCCTTGCAAGGCATCCTTCAAGACCTCCAAGCTGACTTCTCCTTCAACAGTCTTCAACAAAAACATGTGGAAAAAGAAGAACATGTGAGGGAAAAACCTTCTTAGAAGAGCGGTCTCGTCGAAATGTTGCTTGACAGAGTGAGAGAGAGAGAGGGAGAGGAAACACATGTGTGTATATAATATATATACATATATATACACATTATTGTGTATATGTAGAAACTGTAAATGGTTTAATAAAAACAAATAAAACCTAAAGTACTTACGCATTGGTGCAAGGCGATGGTGGCCATGCTGTGAAGTCGACAATGCAAGGCAGGCCTCCATCAGCGTCATAGTCAGGACCATCAAGCACTTCAAACACTTCCAAGACCTTCCAACTGATGTCGCAGGAACGAACAAATATGTCGATCAAAACATGTGTTTGTGACGGATTATTGAATAACATTGAAATACATGGATCATTTCATGTAACTTTTATGGAACGTGTTGCAACAAATCACGAGTAAGAACATTGGATCAATCTGAAGCCGTTGCAAATGTTGCAATTCAAATGTCTTTGCGAATGCTTTCTATCCCTTTCTTATCTTGATTGCTCTCTTAATCAGCTTAAACTAAAAGCTTGTTGGAATTCAAGTGTGACAATGATTGCGATGCCATTTTCTGAGGTCGAGCGCCACATCCTATCTATCTGTGGAAGCCCTCAGTTTCTGCACAGGCTATAGGGACATTCAGAAAGACATAGATCAAGACCGTTTAACGACCTTCTTTGCAATTCAAGACAGGCACAAGCGATCTCAAGCAGTGACTTCCGAAATCTTCCGAATGTCCCCACTATACTGTCTGGATTCCTTCAAGAATTTGTGCCTCAAAGGTCCTTTTTCCTAGTGTGCATGGCAGATTTGTTTCGATGATGCTTTCGCACTGCAAAGCATTAGGGTGCGAAGGTAATCATGTGTAATTAGCATCCTAGCAGTCCGCAGAGCACGCACAAAGTTAAACAACAAATGTTGAACATCTTCGACATCTTCGACCCGTGCCTGCTGTCCATGGACACCTAGTTTCCTTGGCACGCTGCATGGCAAACCGAGCAGGTCACCGACATGCAGCGCCGGTTGAAAACGAAGCGACAAAACATGGCAAAAGATGGCAAAAAGACAAAACAAAGACAAAGAAGACAGCAACAAAACAAAACCATCAAGTCTCAGCATGTTTCAACGACAATTGCACCAAATGCACGTTTTCAATCCCAATCGAGTCCAAAGCTTCAACCTAACCAATGAACATCAATGAACCAAGCGTCTCAAAGAGAAGAACATGAAAGTCTGGAGCCTGGAGCTTGGCATCCCAGTCCACACCTGAGACACCGGCAACAAACATTTCTTGAAACAATTCTTTTAAAGTTTAAACCATTATATACAATTTAACTATATTTAAGTTAAAGAGTTTTGAAAGTTTGAAAATATGCAAATACTCATGCAATGGCACACGCTCACCTTCTTTCTACACTCTGCACAACCTAGTAAAGTACGGGGAGCTCCTCCCTCTGGCACCAGCCCGGGTGCATGCCATCACACAGCAAATAAAAAGGAGGCTGGTGATGCACCTAAAACAGGGCTCAAAGGTGACAGCTTCCGGGGGGGTGGGCCTGGGCCCGAAATGTCTGGAGAGCATGACAATTGCATGAAGAGGTCATGCAATGGCACACGCTCACCTTCTTTCTACACTCTGCACAACCTAGTAAAGTACGGGGAGCTCCTCCCTCTGGCACCAGCCCGGGTGCATGCCATCACACAGCAAATAAAAAGGAGGCTGGTGATGCACCTAAAACAGGGCTCAAAGGTGACAGCTTCCACATGTTCCTAGGTCGTCACTATAAGTACGAGCTATACAGGGTTGGCGTTAGCCTAGTGACTTCAAAGCTGGGAGGTAGTAAGAAGCAGCAAAACGAATTCTAAGTTTGGTGGTTTCCGGCAGCTTTGCTAGAAAACTCTCGGCAGCGAGCTCCTGAAGATAAGACTCTAAAGTCATCTGCGAAACCAGTCTCATCCGCCAGAGGATGCTGGGGATTGCTTCGCCTCTTTTGTAGGCCAGAATCGCACCACCACCTCTGACGCTTGAAGGTGTAGGTCTAAAAGCTGAAGGGACCTCTAAAGCATTCAGAAGTTTCTCCCATCTTGTTCGAAAACTAGCCGCAGACAAAGGGAAAAGGAGAAGGGAGTCATGTAGGTCTCCAAAAACCTGCTGAAGGACTCTGGCTATCTGCGCATCCTCGATCTTAACATGTTGAACCCGCCCCTTCCCTCGGCGGTGGGTCTTTGGCTTCTGAACTCTGAGGAACACGGAGGCGACTCGGTCATCAAACAGGTCAGTAGGGAGGACCAAGTCAGCTCGTCGTGCTCGTAGGACCTCGCCAATTCGAGCAATGCCTTCCACTGCCAAAATAAGGCAACCAGCAAAACGCTTCCAATCCCAGTAGATAGCAAGGGACACCAGGGCTTTATACAGGGCTTCCGGCAAAGGGCGCCGATGACAAACTGGCTCGAGCTCCTCCCACTGGCTGACTAGCTGCCATGCCGGAGCCATGGAAGGTCTGAGCAGAGGGAACTTCTGTTGGGCCAGCACCAGTAAATGACGCAGCTCATAGAGCCGACCCCCTCGCTGATATACATGAAGCCCATAGTTTCGCAGCACTTGCACAGCTAGTGAGGGACAAAGAAAAACCTGGCGGCAGGTATCTTCCGAATACTTGTCATGCAGCCACCTGTCAAAATTCTCCCAAATGCGCCGCTGCAAAGCACGGGTGCCCTGGCCCACTAGGACTACTGATTCAAGGTCGCCAGGATCCCGGAGAGCAGGAGCGCGATGCGCTCGTCGGGGTCCCGGGTTCTGTGCTTCCCCGATTCGAGGAGAGGAAGACTTCGCACAAGCGGCCACATCCAGGCGACCTACCTCGTCACGGCGCAGCCCTGCTGCCCTGCCCATCTCAAAGGCAAGGCGGCGAGAGAGAGCCACGGGGTATGTCTGAGCCACCTTAGTCCAGCAGCATCGGTGCAAAGAGCTGCGCCCACGTAGAACTTGGTGAGAGTGGCCTCCTTGGCAGATCTCTCTAACACCAGCAAGACGTGTGTTGGTGAGGATCCGGGTCCGCTTTCTCCATGGCGTCTGATACCGACACATGTCAAAGCGGTAGGCTCGTTCCGCTCTTGCAATTCCGCTCTCAACCCAGGGCGGCAGCAGCCATAACCAGCTTCCATCCGGATTCTCAACCCAGTAAACCAGTTGGTGCCCCAGACAAAACAAAACTACCTTCAAAACAAATGCAGCATGTCCATTGCCTTGTTGAACTTTACGAGTCATGTGCTCCGACAAGGGAGCTTTTCCAAATGGGTGCTGGTGATCCCGCACCGCAGGAGTGATTGCTCTGCTGAAGCTGCAGCACTCCGGTGCTGCTCCAGCCCCTAAAAAGGCACCGGCTTCCAACAAATCAAAAACGCTCTTCTGCACTTGCTCATCCAGGAGGTTTTGGCTTGCGCCATGGGTGAAATCAAAAGTCACTACCCACACCTTATACTGTTTACTGAGTTGCCGGGCTACTCCAGCTTTGCCACTATACAAGTCTAAAAAACCTTTTCGTTTTGGCAAAAACCCCGGCCTAGCTCGTCTTCCGCCTGGTGCAAAAAACTTGCACACCGGCAGGGCTCGCAGCAGCTGCTGTGCTCGCTCACTCAGCAGTGGGCTTCTGTGATTCTCATGGCAGCATGGCGACTCGCCCCTAACCCCTGGGAGCTCTTCCGAGCTAGTAAAAATGGCTGCGGGGGGAGGATCGCTAAGACCCAAACCTGCAGGAGGAGCTACCTGCTTTGAACCAACAGCTTGACAGTAGGGCCTGGGTTCATTCTTTCCCTCAGGCTTTTTCTCAGTTCTTGTCGTTTGGCTCTCAGGCTCTTGCTCTCTTTTATTATCTGACACTACACCAGCACTGCTTTGCAGCGCCTGTGAGACGGTTCCGACTCCGGTCTTCGGAGCGGCGCAGCTAGATCCTACGAGACCTAATCCTGACCTGCCTGAACTACAACAGTTTTTCGCAGGAGGAGCTACCTGCCCAGAAGCAACAAAATGAGTAGGCCTGGGTTCATTCCTTCCCTCAGGCATCTTTTCATGGTTCTTTTGGTTTGTCGCTCTCTTTTCAGCTAAGCTACCAAGGCCTCCCGGCCGTGAAACGCTAGAAAGTGCATCAGCAAAAATTGCCATACGCTCTGGTTTCTGTACATCATAAAGTGGGTCCAACAGCTCCTCTTGAGCTCGCTGGACATCAAACTTCTCTCTACCGCTACACGGGATGCCCGCTAGTTTCAGTGGGTCATATCCTATAGAAGCCAGCCACTCATCCATCAAAGTGAAGTCGCCGGCCTCGGCAGCATCCCACCATGGAGGCATAGACCTGGCAGGCAGACGGATTGGCTGATCTCGCGTAGGGTCATCCCCAACATTTGCCAGTGACGGAACATATCCGTAGTTTCCATAAAGACCACTACCCAACAGCACTGCCAGGCTACTCTGTAGCAGCCGATTCAGGCTAGGGCTGCTCGAGCGGCCTTTCACAAGGGCCGCTAGGACTACCTGGCTGTCACTGCCCAGCAGGTATCTCTTGTCACATAACCGCTGAGCAAGCTTGTGTTCCACCTCCAGCACGGCTTCCATCTCCAACAGATTGATGTGCCGGCGCCCCGTCGCTTGCTTGCAATGGTGGAGCCGGAACTGCAGAACTTGTGCTAGCACCAGCCACAACGGGTGACTGACCAGCGGAACTCCTTCTGGAAGTTCTTCAGACTCATTCATGAGCTCGTGTTGGCGGAGCCAACTCTGCCAGGGGGACAGAAGGCGACTCCATGTGCCTCGTGCCAAGCAGTGCCTCTGGAATTCTTTGGCCAGGTGCTTTGAAAGGGGGGCCCGCACAGATGCCTTCTTCTCCACTGAGGCATCAGACAGGAAAACCTCATCCAAACTTTGCGCCTTGAGGTCCACCACGCAAATAGGCCCGAGAATGACCAGAGTCCATAGTTCTTGTACTAGGGACGGCGACAACTTCAGGATGTCCTCACGGTCTCTGCCCCTCTGGGCAGCATAGATTTCCTCCAACAGGCACAACATGCGGCGACGCACTTGGAGCGCCGACACCCAACTCCCTGCAAGAACTTCTAGTAGGCCGACTGACGCGTAGCCCAGCACTGCTACCCTGGTCGTCAGCTCTAGTAGCGGCAGTAGGCGCTTGGGGTTCGTGCGCAGCATGCCTGTTTCACCATCAACGGCCACTCCCCAGAATTCCGCCTGGGTGTGGCCCCGGAAGGTTTTCCTGGGATGGGCAGTCAGCCCCTCCTGAACATACTCTTCGCAAAGAATATCCAAGCGCCGCACGCCATCAGAAGACTCGGCAGGTTGGGTCGCAGGGATCTGCTCTGCAAAAACGGCGTCATCGATGACAATGCCAGCTGCTAGATTCCCCCTAGGTGCCCTTCCTTGTGAGGTCAGGAGTTCTTCGGGGGTAAAAACCTTGCAGCGCAGTCCTATTTCAACATGAGCACGTTGACCTAGTTCAACAGCATTGCAGTCGCCCATGGCTAAAGTGCTGAGACATGGGTAAAAAACTTTATGGTCTTCGCCAGCAAGTTCATGAGGAAAACAATGAAAACGTTGAGCTTGTTTGAGGGATAGTGGATAACGAAGAGCATTACGGAGACATCTTTTGGCACTAACTCGAAAACAGTAGTAATAATCCCGTAGGTCAGTTCCAGAGAATACCATCCGATGCCCCTCTGCAATCTCCAGCTGCGCTAATGCTTGTACTGAACCTAGTGTACTACACCAGTCTCGCAGTGTCTGCTCTAGTTCATTAGCTGGTCGCGCATCAATTATCAGTCTATCCTTCTCCTCATCCTTTACCAGGGCAAATGCTCCACACGTGTGAGAAGTCCGCACCTTGCTTTTTGGCACCAAGCGGAGGCGGTGATGCTCATCTAAAAAATGCAAAAGTTGCAGCACCTGTTCATGAGAGGCTCGAACCTGTACTCGGGGCGGCAAGCCCTCTGACTGATCAGGGGGGATGGCCAAGCTGATTGGGTCAACAAACACTGTCTTGTGGACACCATCAAAAAACTTCTCCGGGTTGAACTCCGGCAAATCCTTAGGAAATGACAGCCGCTCAGTTTCAATGTCTTTTGCCAACATGGGGGTGCCTTGTTGCATCCGCCCTACGACTGCACAGCCATCCCTCCCTTGCGGTTCAGTGCTCTCAGCTGCAGACACTCGAGGTGGAGCGTCAGGTGAATGGGCAGTGTAAGAATCCTTCGTCAAACTACAAGCCCGTACAAAAAGATCATGCAAAATGCTATCCAAGCCTTCCATCTTGGCCGCGGTGCGCCCCATCTCCGTAGGACCCACCATGCCCACCAGCTCCACTCCCTTCAGTTGAGCTTCAAAGCGCTGGATGATGCCCCACTGCTTCCGAGACAGTCGGGTGTGAGGAGACAATCCCGGTGGGCACCGTGTAGGGCGCTTCATATGGAGCCAGGACAACATAAGAACCACCAAGTTCACAGCCTTCTGCCTTGCAACGGTGGTCGCCTCAACTTTGCCTGGCTGACCATCGGCTCTCCAAAACCAGCAATTGTAAGGTGCAGGCATGGGCCATAGATGGGCGGCTGTCCCGAACGCATCGGTTCGGTCGTTGTGCAAATAAGAGTGCAAAAAAGTCGAAAATGATGTCTTGGACTTCAACACCCATCTGGCCAAAGAGGTCCACAAACTAGTAGCATTAACCTTTCGGGCATTTGCGCCAGGCACGGAAGGAAGCTCCTTCCCATCTCTGGCTGCACCACCTCCGGGTGGTTCATACATGCTGCGATCTATTCGACCGCTGGGGAGGGAGTCTCCTCGGCGGCCGCTGGCTTCCCTTTTTGCCCCCCTTTTCCCTTGTTCTTGGCTTTCGGCTTTGCCTTTGCGACCGGCTCCTCGGTCTTTGCAGCTGGTTGTCTTTGGCCCAGCTTTGCCTTCTTCTCGTGAAAGTCTGCCAGATCGCGGACTTTCGACACCACGAGGTCGAACCACCTCGGGTCGATCAGCTTGCTGTGGGGCAGTTCCCAAGGATGCGGGCTGACATGTCCCACAAAACTCTGGAATGGAGGAGGGCTTTCCAGCGTCATCTCTCCAGCCAAAAGGAAGCTGCCACCGTCGCAGGCTTGTTGATCGAGAAGACATACTGCAAGAGCTGTCCTCGCCCTGGCTTCGTCGATGCGGTTTGTCCGCAAACAATCCCATATTCCTGGTAGGCACCAAGCAGCCCTCACCGTAGCTCCATAGTTTTGAATGTGGCTGCGATGCTCGATCCAGCCTCTGGCCGATATCACTGATTGCTGGATGCCCGGTTGAATAGAGGCTTGCTCCCAATCTTCCTGCAACCGGCTCTCTATGGCCGTGTACAGCAGCTTTGGGTTCTTTTGCAGCAGTTGACGAAGCGACAAAAGCGCGGCAGCTTTGCTCCGCGTGGCTCCACTTGTCAGATCTTTTGTCGATCCAGACTCGGCGCGGTCCAGGATTTGCTCCAGCTCCCGGTCCTTCTTCATGCCTTTGTCCTTGTGGAGGTCGGTCATCAGTTTGGTCAGCTGCAGAACTGCTGTTGCGATGGGGTCGGCAGACCCAGAAGCGGCGCCAGCTTTTAACGCATGGGCCACTTGGTCTTCCTCTTCCAACTCCTCCGCGCCGCTGCTGTCGGCCGCTACAACCGCTGTCGGTCGGGCGGAGCCAGCTGGAGCGGGCAGTCCCATAGATTTGGCGATCTCGGCCAAGGCGGCCGGGGAGACGCCTGCTTGCAAAGCTTGATGGGCCACCGCCGGATCTACGCCGGCGGGCAGCGCCGCAGGTGCGGCAGCAGCTTTTGGCCGCCGGCCCATTGTCTGTCCAGGTGCTTGGGCAGGGCGAGCAAACTGTTGGGCCAGTTGGTGTAGTTGCTCTTCGATAGCTGCAAACCGATCTTCGAGTCCACCAAGACCAGGAGGTTGTGCCAATCCCCCGCTGTCGGCTGACAGGAACGTGTAGTGATCCTTTGCTGCTGCCACTACTGCCGAAGCGAAAGGGAGCCGCATCAGTCCGTCGACTCCAAGAGGAAAAGTCAGGGCCGGCTGGCCTTGGTCGTAGGACACCTGTGCTTCTGCCTCTGCTGCTAGCAGCCCCAGCCATATCTTGGTAGTTGGTGTAGGGTCTGGCGTATCCCTGCCGTCAGGGTTGCAGCAAGGGACAACCACACCAATCACCTTGGAGAGCAAGTCCGGGTTGATACGCCGCCTTCGGCGAGTCTTGTGCCAGGCCGTATCTGGCACTGCTACCAGGAGCCGGCCGTCGACTTCTGCAACAGCCGCCACAGCGCAGGTGATGGGGGGGTCCAGAGAGCTCAGCACACCAGTCTGGTACGCAAACTCCACAGCGTCGCCTGAGGTGATGAGATTCTGCCGGGGGCCCAGATCCTCAGGCTCTTCCAGGTCCCCGTCTCCTTCTTCACTCATCGACGCCGTGACAGCTCTGCGGGCACTTCAAGGTCCGCTGAGCACACAGCAATGCGAGCTTCCGCTTTTGTCGGGAGCCCCACAAAAATACTATCCCCAAATTGCTTGTCCAAAGAACACAAATTTTTGGTTTCAGCCCAAGAATTACAAACCCTAGGAGGATTATACAGGGTGACCCGAATATCCCGAACCACAATGTAAAGTTTGGTGGCTAAGGGGATTTCTTCGCGCCCCGACAGTCCTCGATGCTCGTTTTGCAAGCACCGTTTGATCCAAGCACCGATCTTCTCCGCAGCACGCACCCGTTCAGCTGGCAAATCAGCGCCCACTGCAGCGGCCGCAGAAGTGCTCTCCGAGGAGGGGGCCTCAGTCACAAGCTCAAACTCACTGGAAGGCGCACTGCCCACTCGAGGTTGTTCCAAGACAACCAGGCGAGCACTCAAGGCCTGGCACAGGTTCCTCAGCTCCGCGACTTCTGCTCGCAGAGACGCGAACTCGGACCAGGGCACGTAGCGCTCACTCATGCAAGTTTGTAGAGCGGTTCCCCACTCTCTTTTGCCAGCTGCTGGAGCCGGCTTCGGATCCACACCCGCCAGCTCTGGCGGATCAAGTGCAGCAAATCAAAAGTGGGCCCCAGAGCTATTCCCAGGCAAAGTCCAACTAGTACACTGAACAAATCCAGATCCCCAACCAAGGTGCTAAGGTCAATATCAGGGCAGATTGGGCACTCGAGAGGAGGACCAGCAGATGATAATTCCGACACCAATCGAAGGATGAGTGCCGAGAGGGATCCCGACGTCGCGCCGATGGCCACGGAGCGATCCATGCACGGCTTGACCCGAAATGTCTGGAGAGCATGACAATTGCATGAAGAGGTCATGGACATAGATGGACATAGATGGACATAGACTGCCATGCATGGCATATATACTAAACAGGGGAATGGAATGACATGGATTGGAATAGCCAAAGCTTGAAACCAATTCAGCAGCTGCAAGAGTCAACTTCTCATGCAAAGTTGCACGTCGGATACTGTTGAGAAGCTTGGAGCTACACCATGCCACACCAACTACACTTTTTATAAGAAACATGAAAAGACATCACATCGGACATGATTTCAATTGCTTCCATATTTCATGATTTCTTCCTGTGTTCAAAAAGAGAAAATTGGTGATAAAACAGGTTGTAAGTCGTTTGTTATTGCCTTTGATGTCATGCTGTAGATGAAACTCACTCTTCAAACTGTTTGCACTGTTTGTTCTTCTTGAACTCTGAGCACTACTTGTGTTGTTCGAATATTTCTCTGCTGAAAGCCTAAAAGCCTTACCGGCCTTCCTTAGCAGCTTCAGTACCTTTCGTTGTATCTTTCGTTGTACCTTTCAGTACCAACATGTCATGTCGCATTGCTCTGCCTGCTTCGTCCAGGATCTGCCACGCAGCCTGCAACGATGCAACGAACGAGTTGCAATGTCTACATCGACTATGTCAGCTATGTCAGCTATGTCAGCTATGTCATGTTCATAAAGTAAGATTGCAATAGATTGCAATAGATTGCAATAGATCACATGTGGGCATGTTTTAGGCATTTTGTAGATGTCAAGATCGGCTTTGAGATGCTTTGATTTGGCAGGTGGCCAGAGCAAAAAACTGCGAAGGTCCAATCAGCTCCGACACTTCTGACCTTCCAAAGAACCCTCTTCTGCCAATCTTCTGCCAGATCAATCTCTAGTGTCGTTTGCCAGGACCGTTGGCAAGGAGCAGCTTCAGGACATATTACGTGCGCACAGCCATAGCTCTGGAGGGTAGGAATACTCTGCTAAGCTCTGCTATACAGCTGGAGAGTACTGTAACCACCTGGCTCTACCTGGCTCTCCTTGTCCTTTGAGAAAACAATTTGAATTTCACAAACACTTGGTTAGCCGCAAATTTGCCTCATGTCGCAAGAGCCTATGAGAGAAATTTGACAACAAGGTAAGGTGCCCAATTCTACGCAGAACGCTACCAGAGCAAACCAGGATCTTCACAAGGTTATCAACTCGATTCAATGTTAGATTGTGTTGACAATGTCGTTCAATTGTGTTCCATAAGTGTCAAATAGTTTTAAAATCTTTCAACGGACTCTTCATGACTCTTCAATAATTCTTCAAAGAATTTCTTCACAAAATGACAGACTCTGACATTTCAAAATTTCTTCAGTGGCATCTCACTTGGCCTCCAGCGAGTCAAAGCGACTTTCGAGCCACTCCCGAAAGTTCAGCAGGAGCCGATCAGACCTCACACCGCCCAACCAATGGAATCCAAGCGGAATCCAAGCGGAATCAATGGCATCTATGGAATCAAATGGAATCAAACCGAACTAATCGAAGACAGATATTGAAGTGTCGGTTTTCTTATGGTTTCGCAGGAAAAAACTTTCGATAGCAAATACAGAAGCCTCAGTAGGTCACTTTGGTCATTTTGGTCACATAAGGACTGTCTCGTGGACAGAAAAGAACTCGGATTTACCAGGTATGAGATTTCAGCAAAAGGCACATGACCCCGATCAGCTGAAGAAACATTCCAAACAAAACAAATAACATTCCATGTAACGTTCATAACATGTTTTAACATTCATAACATTCCCTACATCATTCCTTTCAAGTTTTTCAAGCTGTTCAAGTCTTCTAAGCCTACAACTGCATGGTGTACCGCTTGCGTTCCCTGGCCTCGGAACAATGTCATGACATGTTGATCGATTCAAACGGAATTTGCTATGTCAAAATGAAAAAATGTGACACGCCGTCATCGAAACAGACATTGCATGCTTCGAAACATTGTAAAGTCTCAGAAGGAGCTGTACCACTTCCATGGCTGCCCTAAAGCCTTCCTGTACACTAAACAAAATCAAAAATTATTCTATTGTATGATGTATTATCATATATTACATCAGCTTTCTAGAAATATATCCGAAGTGTAAGATACCTTCTTGTATACCAAAATAAAGTTGGTTTCGGATTTGAAACCACAAAATATCCATATCTTTTCAAGATTCGGAATACACAATGATTAGAATACATTTGTATAGTGATTCCTTCCAATTTAGGAAGACGTAATATTTTGTATGTATATATACGGCAAATGCCTGGGCTTTGCCGCTTTGCCCGGAACCGCAACCACGACAGGCAACGCATCATCATCATCATCATCATCATCATCATCATCATCAAAAAACCCTTACTGAAGATCTTCAATGAATGTAGAGGTTTAACGGGGATGGGAGAATTAAACCCTTATTGAAGATCTTCAATGAATGAAAAAGTTTAACGGGGTGGGAGAATTAAACCCTTATCGAAGATCTTCAATGAATGTAGAAGTTTAACAGGGGTGGGAGAATTAAACCCTGATCGAAGATCTTCAATGAATGTAGAAGTTTAACCCAACCACTCACAGTATGTGTATATATATATATGTGTGTGATATGTATATATATATACACAATCTGCATAACCAAAGAATAATTCCTACAAGTCTGTCTGTCTGTCTGTCTGTCTGTATGTATGTATGTATGTATGTATATATATATAACTGTGATATATTGCAGCAGATACTAAATGTTTCAAAAGGGTGTGCCTAAAGCATGCATCAATTCCCTCTCTTTCTCGCTCTGTTGTTCCGCCTCGAGGATGCTCGAGGCGCGGTCGAAGGCGGGGACCTAGGACGACACGTGACACAACTTGGCACATGCCACCACCGTGTGGCCACAGTGTGGCCACGGTGGTTTGGGGATGGAGAATATGTTTAAACAGAACCCACTCTGTTTGAACACTCTAAGTAACTTTATAAGCTTTAATAAACTTGAAGCCTTGAAACCCATGTTTAGAGGGAGAAAAGTCCAAGGTGAAGAACACAGGACATCGCAGCATGGAGGCACCTCAGCAGTTTCCGAGTCCTGGCTGCAACAAAAACATCGGACGGAACATCGAAACAGTTGACAAAACAGAAAACCAGAAAAAACAGCTGTAATGACATTTATAAGTTTTGTATAAGTTTTATATAAGTTTTATAGTCAAATTCAGTCGAATGCTTACAGCCAGTCGGGACAAGGAGCCAAACGAGCCAAAACAAGGAAATGGAGGAAATGGACGAAATGGAGGAAATGGAGTCGCTCTTCAATATTCCCAAAGAGACTCTTCCCCCCAAAAAAGGACCAAGGCCCCAAACAAAGAAAAAGCATGAAAGGCATGAAAGGCATGAAACAGCAACGGCACAGCAACAGTCCTCTCCCTTTAGCTGTGCCTCAATGCAGCAAGATATCAACTCAAAGGTGTTGATTCATCTTTCATAGACCCATAGATGTAGATGTAGACGTAGAAGATGATGATGATGATGATGATGATACTCTGTATTAATAGATCATAATCAAAACATTTTATGATAAACCTTGTGTGGTGTCTCTTGATTAAAGTCCATTCAAGGCCTCTGGATCTGAAAATAAATTTTACAGTCTCGAGATACCCAGGCTATAGTAGCGACATTGTCAGCTATAGCGGCTCTTGAGTTACATCATCAATATTCTCAGTAGGCCAGCTGGGGAAAACCCATCAGCAACCTCCATTGTGTGCACTGTAGAAACTCTATGGGCTCAACATCCATCCGAGGAACTTCAAAGGAACTTTCGGAACTCTAAATTGAACTCTAAACTTTAGAAACTTTTGGAAATGTTCAGAAACTTTGTGCTCATGGGTTGCGTAGGTCTTCTCAGAGGGTTGCAGTGGTGACTGCCCAAAAAATACCTAAAACATCCCAAAACCTTCATTCTGAGATTAACATCAAAATAAACAGAAACAGTTTAAACATGACGTTTTGACTTCATTGAGTGCTTCACGTTTTATTAGATAGTGTGATAAAGATGAATTTGTAGCAAAAAAACTACGCGCCTTGACATTGTTTAATCTCATTCACTTTGAATCATCATGTTTTTACCCAGATATCGTGTGAATCTTTGTCATGTTATATCAATTCTTCACCCAGCTTCGTTTTTTTCCTCCCGGCTTTTTACTGAAATGTCCTGCACCTTTTGCATTGTCGATAAATTCTAGCAGCGTCATTTCTAAAACAGTTGAGCTTTGACAAGATGTGTAGATTTATCTTTCCATCTTTCGAAAGTTGCCCTGGTGTCATTTCGTTACACAGTGATACATAGTGATACATAGTCATACTGACATACTGTTTCTGTGGACAGTGACTTCCTGTACTTCCTTCTGTATCGGATAGACAAAAATAGGAAGTCATACAAAAACGATGTTTGAAAGCCATTGAAAGCCCCAAGGGTTGACACGTCAGAATTCAAAAGATATGTCGCGCCGGCCTCTTCGTCAAGGCTTGGTAATGGCAGGTCCAGGCTATCTAAGTGGCAGGAAATTCACATGCGACAAACGTCTGCACTGTCTGGAAGTGACTTCGTGTGATGGATACGACCAATACGATTTAAACTAGTCAAAATATTCAAAATAGTATCAATTCAAACTCAAACTATCTCAATTCGGCCATGATTCTTGTATGACCAAAAGTATGATTGTATGAGTTGATATCTTGAAAGGTACACACTGAATTGCCCGGGAGCAGCACCTAAGCCTCACCAAGCCTGATCCCTTCGGAGTTACGGCGCCCACACGGCCCTTCTTTGACAGGCTTCACACAGTCCCCTCATCCAATTCATCCAATTCACTAAGTGCACGTCACACAATCTGAAGCTTGGCTGAGCTCCCAGCTCCACTCAATTTGCAACGACCTTGTATTCTAATTTTGCTTGGGTGATTTGATGATATACGGCGTATGATTATGAGACACATTACTCGTGCATATGCATTGTTTTCCGGACATATAAAAAGCCGTTTAAGGTGCGAAATCACTCAGAAAAGCACAGTATTCCTCTACAAGAGTGCAAGACGGTGGCAAATCATGCAAATCAAAAAAAATATACAAGCAGCGTTAGCAATGGAAACAAGCAGCATGCTGAGCAAGTGACCTACCTGTTGTGCTTTTGTCATGTCCTCAAAATAGTTTAAGTTAACTGCTTTCTCCTACAACATTCCTTCAAAAAGTCCAGCATTACAAGCACAAAACAAGCGCAATGTTCCTTTCAGAAGCAACGTCTTTTTGAGAAACAATGGAATGTTTACGAGAAAGAGCCATCTCCCTCTAGAAACTGCAGCGCGATTCAAAGTACGCATTCTGCTCAAAAAGTGCAGGCTTCCTCTGAAAAGTACCACTAACTTTTCAAGAGCCTCTAGATGCAAAAATAAATAGTATTCCGTCAAGAAGGTGCCTTTCTTCCAAGTAGCGCTCCTAAAGAGGAAAGGACAGTGCTCATTCCATCCATGCAAGAAAGTGCATAATGTAGCAAGTGCAGCAAGGCGACATTTCTTTCAGATGTGTGGTTCTTGTTTTCAGAAAACATGACTCCATAATTGTAATCGTAAACTCCGTAAACGTGGTTCCTTTTGGCAAGTGAAGCACCCATATAAGAAAGCGCAGTTTAAGAAAAGTCGGAATTGCCCGCAAGGCAACATCCTTTCAAGAGAGGCTCTTTTCAGAGATGCAATTTTGAGAGCACGGTCCTTCCAAGAATTATGTATCCGTCTATAGGTAGAGAACTGGTAGATTGATGGCATTCTTTCTTGATTCAAGAAAAACTGACAAAGCACCAAAAACGATTTTCTTTCAAAAATGTGTCGCAGTAGTATCCTGTACCCACTTGTATTTGACAATTCCTGACTTCAAAGTAGTATATACTTGCCTCGATCCAACAAGATTTCCTGGATGTCTTGGATCTTGAAATTGAAACCATCGACTGCCATTGTCGGACGTAAGAATGACGAAACTTCAACTTGTCAAACCTGATATTGTTTAAAGCAAAATTGATCTTTGTGAATGTGAATGTGTGCGTGTGTGCATGTGTGTGACACCCCAAATGGCACCTAAAAATCAGCAGAACGGCCCCTTACTAAGGGAGTGATTTGTCCACTCAAAAAATGAAAATTCACTCGCTCACAGGGTGCTGCTCTCAAAATCAAACCCTCCCTCCGGGTAATGTCTCAAAGTAGGTCACTTGTTGGGGACATGGTCAGAGACTGCGGCCTTACACTGAGAACCAGCCAAAATAGTGCTGGGAAAAATGTCTGGAAGAGTACCATCAAAATCTGCGTAGGATCCCCTACTTTCCCAACAGGAAGACAAATTTATTAGATACTCTCAAGCAAATGCTGTCGTGAAGCCAAGACCAAAACAGAAA